CATCCTTTGTGTCTATCTCTGGATATTCGGTGATATCATCTATTTCTAGATTAATTTTAACCATGTTATTTATATTTACAGTTCTGGAAGTCTCATTAAAAATTACATTACGACATATTGTTACTTTCTTAGTCATTGGGTCAAAAAGTCTATAGTTAGTAGAGTTTTTGTCATAGCCGACGAATATTAGTTTTTTACTTTTAGCTTCAAACTTGGTTCGCCTCGCATCTGGTACGTGTGCATAAGCATCGCAGCCAAAAATTTTTAAATGCCCCAAGAATGGTTTTTATCCAGTCCAAATTTCGTATGGGGTAGAATCTGGCGTTTGACTTGTTAAAGTTCTATTTAAAATATAAACTGCCATGCTGACAGCTTCAGCCCATAAATATTTTGGCATTTGTCTTTGAAACATCATAGAACGAGCACTTTCTACGATTGATCGGTTGTCACGTTCAACACGGCCGTTTTGTTCTGGAGTGTATGGAGCGGTTGTTTCAAGAGTAATTCCTTCTTTGTCTAAATAATCTTGGAACTCAATGTTACAGAACTCTTTACCATTGTCCACGTGCAATATATGGATCGGTTTTCCGAATTTGGTTTTGACTTTTTGATTATAGATTTTGAAACACTCCAACGCATCGGATTTGTGTTTGATGAAATACACTACTCGATATCCCGAGTATTCATCTTTCAACGACATAAAATATCGAGTACCCGAAACTGAAGGTACGGTCATAGGTCCACAGAGGTCACTAAATATACGTTCTCCGGTATTTACCTTTTCGTGCTTACTTTTTGTAACAAATGGTATTTTGGGCTGTTTGCCAAACGCGCATGCTTCACAAAAGAACTTGTCAGTGTCGCTGAAACTCACGCCTGTTATAAGTCCTTTCTTAACCATTTCCCGAATTGCGTTCACATTTAAGTGTCCAAGTCTTTCATGCCACAACTTTAAACTTTCGGGAATGACAATATTTGCGCTATTGATGACTGTGCGAAACATCATCTTATAAATATTATTATAGTCTTTCACTGCTGTTGCGATTACTCCGCTATTGTCCCAAATTTCTGCAAAATCGTTCTGTTTTAAAATTTTCATACCTTTGCCAGTGATGATGCCTTCTGAGAATAAATTTTTCGTTAAACTGGGTATAAATAGAACATTATTTATAGTAGCATTGTACCATTCTCCATTCAGCAATTTTTGAATGTTTACTGTTCCTTTTCCTTTTACAGATAGTCTTTCTCCATTACCAAGTACTACTATACTATTAATGTTTTCATTTAAACTGGCAAAGAAATCTTTTCTGTATGACATGTGAGCAGACGCACCACTGTCCATTATCCAGTAGTCATCCCAGACATTAGCAAAATTTACATCTACATTAAACGCAGTTTCAATGGTTCCTGTGTAAGCTGCACTACCATTATACTTGCTGTTGTTTCCACCGTCTTTTTCATTGTTAAAATTTAATTTTTCCTTCTTTTCTCGACAATTCTTTGAAAAATGTCCCCTTTTTCTACAGTTATAACATACAACATTCTTGTACCTATTTTTCTTCAATGAAACAGTAGCTAATGCAGTCTCAGCTTCTTCATATACGGTTAAACTTTTCTCTTCGTCTAATAGTCGAGCAGTGAGATTGGGAATCGTCTGCTTGTTTTCATCTAATGAGAGCCATGCTTGGCGAAAACTTCTGTATTTTAATGGTAAAGTACTTATGATTTTCATCATTACAGCTGCATCGCTAATTGACTCACCAGACTCTTTCACATGCTTAGCTAGATTTTCCACTTTCGCTATATGTTGAGCTATTGAGTCAGTATTACACATTCTGTACTGATGAAACCTTTCATGAACAATCATTTTATTTGTTTCACTCTTTTGTAGATAGATTGAATCCAATTTATTTACAATCTCTTTACTAGTTTCACAATTCTCGACTAGCGTAATTTGGTCTAGATTCATTGCCGCTGTTAGAAGGAACATTGCTTGAGCATCTTTTTTGTACCACTCCTCTTGTCCTGCTTGAAGTTCTGGTAACTTTATGGTTCCATCAGCTATTCCCCAGAGCCCTTTAGCTTTAAGAGCACACTTAAGCTGAAATTTCCACTGTAGGTAGTTCTGACCATCAAATTTACTAACACTGAGGTCAATTGACTTCTCCGCCATTTTGGTCTTCTAAATTCGTACACAACGTATCTCCTTTTTAAAATACTTAATGCCTTTTCTAGATGCGTACACAACGTATCTTCTTTTCTTAAATTATGCTTTTTTTTTTCTAGATGCGTACACAACGTATCTCTAGAAGAAAACCATACAAAAAAGCAACACAACTTTTAAATGTTTTCTTCTCTCTGCTGGGCTCATAACCTGTTGAGAGGACCGAAAAAAAGCAATAACCAAGACTTAAAGGAAAGAACTGTTTTAATCAAAATCTGACGTATTACATATATCAGTCATTTTTCTAAAAACCAAAAACAAAACGTAAAACTTTGCAAAAACAAAAGCAAATCTTAATAAACTATACAAATGGAATTATAGAGATAATTTATTTTAAAAATAGGCATTCAGTTGCGATTTGTGATTACAAAAAGAAAACTTTAACCACTTTTTCTGATCAGTAATGTTAGTGTTATAGTGAAAAAGTTTCTAGAAACTGGTGTTTTTAATCCTAATAAAGCATTTCCAAGAAAAGTGCATGATGAAAATTGTTTTGAACAAAATTTTGAATGTCATGCCATTTAAAAAGAAACCCTGTGGCTGTGGATAACATTTGACACAAAATCTTATCCTAAAAATAACTGTTTGGTTGCATTGGAGGAATAATTTCTTCATTGGTACTTTTTTAGGGTGCAAGGATGACTTGACATTACTAAATTTAAACCTTTGTTATAAGTTGTCTTTTTGCTTTAATTTCTGATACACCTGTATTGTACATACTTGAAAAATATAAAATTGTTCAAGTGGGAAGTTTATATACAAGGTGTCTCATTGAGAAAGGGATACAGAACAACTGAAGAGTCTGATTAAAAATAAGACTATGCTTAGAATGCGAATATTCTTCATTTTAATTTTGAAGTTTCTGATAAGTTCCCAACAAAAGTACCTATATGATTTACTTAAAAAACATAAAAAAATATATAATTATAGTTCAAATAAGTGTAACGTATCTTATGACACCAAAAACTTTTGCCAAATATGTTAAAATTATAGGTAACTCTTCAGTTTTTCTGTGTCCCATTCTTAATAAGACACTACAAAAAAAAATTTATTATTTAAAAAAATATTTGTTGGAAAATAACTGACATTATTCTCCGCCAGAATATATCAATTATTTTACTCCTCTTTCCCCTACGCCGCTAGTCAGCGAATTTAAATATATTTGTTTCTCTCGGCCCTTATTACATAATTAAATGCTAAACCGCCTCTAACATCATGCAACCAACATCACATTTGCGTCTGATAGGTACCATTGGTAGTTCATGACGTAATTCCAACCAACCCTGGCAATTCGCGCTTATTTTCTATCTCCTCTCATATACGGTGCAATCTCGGGCATCGTTAAACCAGAAGCAATCTTAACTTAAGGTGAGAAGGGTGTGTGCTCTTCATAATATGTGAGTTTTCCCGCACTTTGTGGGCGTTAGCCGGCCGGCATTATTATTTATCGGTAAAAGTGAATTAAAACTTATTAGCTCGGGGTGTTATCAAGTAAAACATGTTATAAAAGCAAGTAGCCTCATACTAGACATATTCTAGCATTGTTTTCTGCCTGTGTTTCGTATCAACAACTTGTTATTTTGTTGTATACCGAATAGTATTGTAATAAACTCTATTAAAAGTGGTATCGCAGTTTGAATACCCGAAACCAGTAAAATCTAATCATACAGTCCAATAAAAAACACAAATATAGGGAGAAATCAGAAAATTACCCCATATTTGCGCAATATTTATTGACCTTTAAACAACACTATTTTGTTGTTTTGATGTCTTATGCTAGCAGCTTTATTAACTCTAGTTTTAGTGAGATATGTTAGTCGGATACTAACATATTTATCAACTATGCACTTGATTAATAATATTCTATGATTATCCAACAAACTGGTCCAAACTGTGCTGCATAATATTCGAAAAGACATTAGAATTTATGAATTCTTTTAAAACTAATGTCTTTCATAATGTTTAATATTTTTTCACATTTTAAATAAATGTTTATTACATCTTCCGATGGATATTGCAAACCATTTTTATTCTTTATATCAATGAATGAAAATAAAAACAAATCTCTAGTTTTACTTATTAAAGCATCTAGATATTGTTCACAAATGATTTTCTTTTTTAAATAATAAACAACATATCCAGAAATGTAAGTGATTATATATTTAGAAAAGTTTAATTATAGTTGGTTTTTAAGTTTTATTATAGTTATCTAAGTTTTAATATAGTAATTTGTCTTTATTATAAAGTTAGTCAAGCCAATGTTCTTTATTAAGTTAGTTATTTAAGTTTTATTGTAAATAAAGTGTATACTAACTAAACATTCATTTATTGTCGGAACAGCATTCTTCTTCAATCTGACCCTAAACTCACTCTTATCAAAAGATTCTTCCTTGAAGTGAATAGAGCACAACATGCTATTCGGTTTAGGCTCAAATTGGTCTTTTCCCACAAATTTTGAGATATTGTGAGTCTTTTGGAAACCTATAATAAAAAAAAGTTAAGCATTCTAAAAAAAATTCTAAGTACACTCTTTATACTTATGAAAACTTAAATTAGATATTTTCTTACGCTCTTTCACTGAAGAGTTTTTACAATTAATTTTTGCACACTTAGTCACGATTTTTATACAAATTAATAAAAAAAAACACTTATTAAGATAGAAATATTTAAATTTGAACAAAGTTCTGACAGCTCTTTGACAACTATGACATGGCCACTAAGAGTGGGGGAAGGGGTGTCTTTTTTTTGGCATGTCATCTCCATAGTATTCAACCTCATTGGTTTTTACATCAATCTTTTTTTATTCCTAGTAACCTATTTAGTTGGCCCGTCAAAAAAATGGGATGACAGTTTCCGTACGTTGACAGATTTAATCCAGCAATTTTACAATAATTATTTTTTATTTTAAAAGATTCGTTTAAATATAAACACCGAAAATGGATAGAGCTAATATGTTATCGGCCACCAAGGTCAAGCAGCACGGGATGATCTCCGAAAAATGGACAACCAAAGACAAAATCGTCCAATACAAGGGACTAATCAATTTGTATAGTAAGTAGAATAACATTAGTCAGCGATTTATGTTTAATCAGAGATTTCTTGAACAGCGCGAGACAAGAAAATCATGGAGATGGACGTCGCCATGGCCAAGAAGAAGCAAACGCAAGAAATGAAGATGCTGCAAACAGAAATCGATCTCAATAGAAAGAAATTAGATAACGCTTGTGGAGGCGATAAACAAAAATTACGAAACGCTTTAGCAAATCACAGGATTCTACAGATGGCGTTTTGCAGATCAACGCCAACAGTAATTACTTGAAATAATGTTAAAACGGGTTTGAAAATATTTGGATTTTTCATATTTTGCCACCGCATGTGTCAATTACCAAAACTGAATTCTATGTATTAATTTATCTACTGCATTTTAATTTCAGAAAGTAATCGACTTAATCCACCAAGTTAGTTTTACGAAAAGGAAAAAACGTGATATACTAAATTACAAAATGAAAGTCGAATCTGACAAACTTATCGACCTAAAGGTAAACAAATTAAATTATTTTTTTTTATAAATTTAATTTCATTTTGTATGGCTGTAGTTGGAATGTTCCGTATACGAGGACAGATTAAAATACGAAGGCGACAAAATCATGTTGCCGAGCGAAAAAGAAGCCCATCTCATCACCGGTAAAGTACAAGATGCTATTTTGAAAAAAGAAGCCGCTATTTACATCAGGAATTCATATAACGAAATGATCGCAATCATGAAAAAAGTGAGTGCTCTTCCAAAAGAATACAATAATTTCTACTTCAATAAAAAAATTAAAACTGCGAAGTTATCGCATGATGTTCGCATCTTCAGTTTCCTTTGTTCATTAGCGCGTTTGGTTATAGAGTAACTATGATAAACAACGACAAAAAACTACTGGACTAATCCATAATTTTTTTTTTATTGCAGTCATTCAGATTGTGTTCATTACTTAGATAAAAGAGACCGGAGATGTAACATTGCACAGTGCGCACGTTGTCTATTCCAACCCTAAGTAACCCACCAATTAAAAATCATTGTGTCCACGACGCCACCCGAATTGCTCCGAAATTTCTATTATACGCTCGTCTCCGCGTAAGTGAATCATTTATGGACCGCCGTTTTTTGAATTATTTGTTGGTGTTTTTAGCAATTTAAAGTGTTTTAGTTATTCAATTTCAAGTTGAAAATGCCACGATGTATGGTGAAAAATTGTATATACAAATAATATAAGTGTCAATGTTATGAAAAATAAGAATATTCGTTTTCAGCGGTAAATATTTGTTAACGTTTTGACATAAAGTCGCCATGATCCTTTGAGCTGGATACTTCAGATCCGCATTAAGGGGTTTCAATAAATATTAAGCATTAAATACCTATTTCAGAAAATAAATTTTATAATGCATATATTTACAAAAGAGCAAAATTTTTTCAATTAATTATTTTCGTTTTCTTAAGGTAATGGGATAATCGATTATAAAGAAATTGCAAAAAGAAAGTAGATTTATTCAAAATATTCGATTTATTGTTTAATCGGCTTTTTAAAGTAATCGATTATTTTCGATTAACCGAATATTTTCAATTAATCGATTATTATCGATTTTTCAAAAGTATTCGCATAATTTATTTTAAAAGAAATACGAAAAAATAGATTATATTAAAATAATCAATTTATCGAATATATTCGGTTGTTTTATATAATCGATATTTCGGTTATTTTTTAGAATGATCGATTTATCGGTCAATCAGCTTTTTATTAATCGATTATTTTCGATTTTTCTAAGATAATCAAATAATCAATTTTAAAGGTAATAAGAAAAAAAAGGATTATTTGAAAATAATCGATAATTCAGTTATTTTTTTTTTTTGGAAAATCGATTTATCGTAGAATTGGCTTCTTAATTAATTGATTATTAGCGATTAATCGATTATTTTCGATTGACCGAATATTTTCTATTAATCGATTATTATCGATCTTTCAAAGGTATTCGCATAATTTATTTTAAAAGAAATACGAAAAAATAGATTATATGAAAATAATCGATTTATCGAATATATTCGGTTGTTTTATATAATCGATATTTCGGTTATTTTTTAGAATGATTGATTTATCGGTCAATTAGCTTTTTATTAATCGATTATTTTCGATTTTTCAAAGATAATCAAATAATCAATTTTAAAGGAAATATAAAAAAAAGGATTATTTGAAAATAATCGATAATTCAGTTTTTTTTTTTTTGAAAATCGATTTATCGTAGAATCGGCTTCTTTATTAATTGGTTATTATCGATTAATCGATTATTTTCGATTAACCGAATATTTTCGATTAATCGATTATTTTCGATTTTTCAAAGGTATTCGCATAATTTATTTTAAAAGAAATACGAAAAAATATATTATATGAAAATAATCGATTAATCGAATATAATCGGTTATTTCATATAATAGATATTTCAGTTATTTTTTAGAATCATCAGTTTATCGGTCAGCTTTTTATTAATGGATTATTTTCAATTTATCGATTATTTTTGATTTTGCATAGATGATCAAATAATGAATTTTGAAGGAAATATGAAAACAAGGATTATTTGAAAATAATCGATAACTCAGTTATTTTTTTGGAAAATCGATTTATCGTAGAATCGACTTTTTAATTAATTGGTTATTTTCTCTTAATCGATTATTTTCGATTAAGCGATTATTTTCGATGTTTCAAAGATGATTGAATAATCGATTTTAAAGGAAATAATTCTGTTTTTTTTTTTTCGAAAATCCATTTATCGGTTGTTTGACTTTTTAGTTAATCGATTATTTTTGATAAATCGATTATTATCGATTTTTCAAAGATTATCGAATAATCTGTTTTAATGGAAATACGAAAAAAAAATAGATTATTTGAAAATAATCGATTATTTAAAATAAACGATAATTCGTTTATTATTTTTCCTAAAACATTGATTTATCGGTTAATTGGCTTTTTAATTAATCTATTATTTTTGATTTTTCAAAGATAATCAAGTAGTCGATTTTAAAGAAAATACGAACAAAAACAGATTGTTTGAAAATAATCGATTTATCGAAAATAATCGATAATTTACTTCGATAATCGCCCACCCCTAGCAACCAAATGACTTTTAATAGATTTAAATTTTAAAATGTTATCTGGTTTCAAACATATGCATTTCTAGAGTTTTATGTGACTCATCCTCTAGTCTATAATAATTAATATTCCTAAAGAAAGAAGTTTTATTATACCTTTTTCTGAGGTTACAATACAAAACAGCAGTTTCTCATTTTGACTAATTTTTAATATTAAAAGCCGTAGAAAAAATATAATGTTCAACTCACAAGGTTTGATTTGCAGTATTCGCCTGCGCACATGCTTTTTTATAGTAGTCGCAGACAATGAGTACCATTTCTTGCTCGATTAACAATATTATATTTCAAAATTTTACTGTAGTAATTTGCAGAAAAGTCCGTAGTAAATAAACGCTATCGAAATATTCTATAAAAGGTCTTCTCTTTACATAAAATATCGTGGCAACTGTTTGATATTAAAAAATCACGTTAATTTTATTGCATAATACAAAATTCCATTAAATATCTTATAAGTTGTTCATTATGATGCTAATAAACAAAGTCCGTCCCTATCACAGAGTTCGGGTATCCACCTAGTTCCCCCACTCCGTTAACCTTTCTTTAGAAATTGGCAACATTTGTGCAGGTTAAACACCGTTGTATGTTATATCTCTGGTCTCTTTTATCTAAGGTTTAATATTACTCAGACAGCTGTCGCATCGGCTGTCGCATTAGAAAGAAGGAGATACTTCATTGGCATCTTTTTACATCCAATGAGTTGTTTTCGAGATACTTCGTTATTTCAACATAAAAACTTCACTCTATATATGCAAAATTTTATTAAAATCCATAAATCCGTTTATTTTGTATGAATTTCTTTCATTTTTACGGTTCGATACCCAAAAATAATAAGTAGTCTGAAATCGATCCAAAAAATCAAGGAAATTATTTGGAATAAATATTTGCGTCAAATATATTTAAAATAGCTATTTATGTATAGGAAGATATTTGTAATTTAAAAATATCTATTATAAACTTGGGCGAAATATATTTCGTTATTTAATCAATGTCAGGAAATACTAGAAATTAATTCAATAAAAGATTTAATAACTTTAAATTGTAAGTTAAAATTTAAAACAAAATAAAATGAGATAGAATTAAGTATTAATTGAATAAAACAATAAATCGTAAATAAAATATTATTAACATAATTGAGAAAAAGTAATGCACGTATGAGATGGCGGCGTACCTGAAATAAAAAGAAAAACAAGTTTACAAGCAGTAGTTTTATAATAAAGAAAGTTATGAGGTGATATTCGTTAACAAAATACTTATTATCCTTTTAATTAACAAGAAAATTATATTGATAACTCAAAATATTACATTCAAAAAATATAATTATACGTTAAATTCTCCATTCTGTTGATACTGACTACAATGCCCAAACTATCGATCGATATACAAAAGGAAACCTACTATAGAATTACTGGGTTTACCCAATGGATTACGTGGATCACTGAACTTAGTGCCGACAGTTTACGAACGAGTTGGATTATTTTCCTATTTATCTGTCTGTCAATCTTTGACGTTTCCCCCTTATTTGTTAAAGAACCATTTTAATTAAACATATATGTAGTCTGACTAATAAAGTCACTATATGGGCATAATTATTACAAGTTATAAATAATAAAGGTAGAAAAAACTTCAAAGCTACTACTGACAATCACCAAACACTAAAAAATTGCGTTATCCCTTTATAAAATCCTGCGGTACGAATGCGGATCAATTACTAATCTACTCGTAGAGAGGGTCACAAAATATTGATCTCGATCACAAAACTAGATCAGTAATCTACTAGTTTCCGAACACGGATAGGGTTAGTAACCATAGGTAAACGAACAATAGGATCCATAATCTTTCTGATCCGGGTAAGTTTCCGAAAACGCCTAAATTGATCCATTACTAGCACATTGACCGCAATGTCACTAGCCCGCACGAACCATGGTACGACGACCCTAGAAAACTGACCACTGTAATCCCAAACTAAACCCATACACTGACCGCAATGTACTACTAATAGATAATGTAACTCCCTTTACTTTTGATTACATCTCGTAGAGGAAAACAAAATATAAGTAAATTGTAAATTATTATTTAATACAACCCTGTTCTCTCAATACTTGATAAAATATATTTACGTCACAATTGCCAAATTAACTATAAAAGGTTGGATAATAATTAGGTAATACAATTTGCAAAATAACTTGATTGCAAAGTAAAAAAAAATAATTGATAAAACATAATTACTCAATGAGAAAAACTCTCTATTCAGTAAACAGCCACTCACAAAAATTATAATTAATCACTAAGGGCCGATCTTTTCATATCTGAGTAAAATTACATGTAGATTTACTTGACAGATTAACAAACAATAGCCCTATTCATTTAATCAGCAAGTAGTTACTTACTTTACTCAGAGGTGAAAATACTGGCCCTAAGTTTATTATTATTGAAACTAACTTTAATTTTGTTCCGCAAAGCAACTACTTCAATTTTCAAATGACCTGTTTTTTATGCCTGCTTGAGATATTTGCAATTTACCCTTAGTTCGCTTATTCGTAATCTGATACCCTATAGTGTTAACTTAAACATAGGCTGGAACCATTT